ATATATATATATATATATATATATATATGTATTCACCAGTTCACACACATACCGCCCACCTACACATACACACAGGTGAGTTCCTAAGTTGGGTGTTGTGATGTGTATGTATGTATGTGCTTGGTGTACTTGGGATACCTAGGGAAAGGTTAAGGTAAGAAAGTAGAAGTGTAGGGAGTGAAAGTTGCTGGGAGAGAAAGTTACTGGGACCTGGATTAGAACCGGTAGACTAGAGAGGCATGGGCTGAAGAACTGAAGCTTGGGGGTAACTTTTGGTTAATTGATCTTAATTGATTAAAAGACAATGCCCAAAGCCTGCAGAACAGGTGAGCGATGCCGGCACAGGGGCTGGGACTGGAGCTGGAGCTATGGGGGAGCTGAAAAAGTAGGTAGAGAGAGGGAAAATGGGACTAAGGGAAAGTGTGAGTGTTAAAGAGAGGCTCTGGCTGTGGGGAGCCAGAGGATGGCTCTGGGGCAGCTAGAGAAGCTGCAGGGAGCGGCGGTAGATGCTGGGAGTTGGAAAAAGGCTCCAGCTGCTGGAGAAAACTGCAGGACAGCCAGAAGGAGCTGGGAAGCTGGGGGTGGGGGGGGCAGTGGAGGACTACAAAAGGATCGGGGGAAGCCTGAAAACAGAGAGACTGACAGCAGAAAATCACAGAAAAAGCATCAGGAGAGACTGAAAGGTGGCAGGGCAGCGGGAAAGCAGAAAAGGGCAGCAGAAAGTCATAGGGAAAAGGCAGTAGGAGCGTGGGAAGCAGGGGGAGAGCAGAAAATCACAGGAAAAGTGGCAGGAGGGACTGAAAGGTGGGAAAGCAGAAAAGAGCAGCAGAAAGTCACAGGGAAAAGGCAGTAGGAGAAGGGGGAGAGCAGAAAATCACAGGAAAAGCAGCAGGAGAGACTGAAAGGCAGCAGGGGCAGAGGGAAAGCAAAGAAAGTCACAGGGAAAAGGCAGTAGGAATGTGGGGAGCAAAGGGGACAGCAGAAAAGCAAGGAGAGGCTGACAGGTGGCAGAAAAGGGGAGATGGAATTGGGAGGAGATCCAGAAACTGGCAGAGAGGTAGAGGCTGGAGCTGTGTGAGAGAGAGAATGAGGCTGGAATTTAAAATAGGCAAGGGGCTGGGATTCAGTAAAATGACCGAACTCAGGGTTGCAAATGACAGTGGTTTTATTGAACAGGGGAGATGGTGACACAATGTCTTATTGGTTTCCTTGCACCCAGCCATCCACCCACACAATGGCAGCAGGGGTTAGAGAGGCTTGGTGCAGGGGCTGAAGTCCAGGATGGGACAGAGAGAGAGTCCAGATTGTAGGAGGAGATGTGCACGTAATATCTACCTGTCCCAGGCTGGAAGTTGATCCTCGATGGCCAGTCAGGGTCTCCTTCAGCT